ACTCTCTACAGTGAGTCAGAACTTGGTGGTGTGTGTGTGTGTGTGTGTGTGTGTGTGTGTGTGTGTGTCGGCCTCACCCTTCCACCAGCCTCCCTAAAATGTCCATAGAAATCAGTATACCTGGTGACTGTATCAGGTAATTAACGAGTTCGGTTTACCTGTAGATTTACCAACCCACCGTTCACCTAACCTACCTTAACGTTAACCCAAACTACCATAACCTAACCTAACCCTAAAATATACAGACAAAATAAAGAAAAGCAGAACAGGTCTCTAACAGGAAGTAACTAACACACACACACACACACACACACACACACACACACACACACACACACACACACACACACACACACACACACACACACACACACACACACACACTGTTTTTTTGCTGATTATTATAGGACACGAAATGAACAGATGTTGACCTACTGAACAACACCAGGGAGGAGGGAGAGAGAGAGAGAGAGAGAGAGAGAGAGAGAGAGAGAGAGAGAGAGAGAGAGAGAGAGAGAGAGGTTTAGAGAGAGAGAGAGAGAGAGAGGAGGAGGAGAAGGTGGTAGGAAGGAAGGGGAGGGGGACTTTGAGGAGGAACAGGAGGAGGTTAGAATAGGAGAGAAGAAATAAGGGAATAGAGGCATAGAGAAGGAGAGGAAGGAAGAGAGAGGGTGAAAGAGACAGAACCGTCGGGTCTCACACAATCCCGTCCACAACAGAGTCATTTATTACATTTTCTCCTATAATTCTAACTCCGTGTAATCAACGTGTTTATTATGGCATTAACTACCTCAGCCCGGAATAACAACACCACTAAGTATTTACCACATCTCTTGCTATTACGGAATGAGTCATTAGAGTATTTTTAGCTTACTCGTTTAAGAATAGTTGTGGTGGTCACTTAAGGCAGATTTATAAGTGTGTGTGTGTGTGTGTGTGTGGGCAGCCAAGTGTAAAGTAATCTTTCTCTTCTACATTCATTTATCCTTCTCTTCCATCACTCCTCTCTCTTATCACATATTCCTCTTCCTCTCTTTTCCATCCTTTTGAACTAAAAAACTTATCATTCACCAAGTAAACCACATCAGTCACCAAGTAAACCACATCAGTCACCAAGTAAACCACATCATTCACCAAGTAAACCACATCAGTCACCAAGTAAAACCACATCAGTCACCAAGTAAAACACATCAGTCACCAAGTAAACCACATCATTCACCAAGTAAACCACATCAGTCACCAAGTAAACCACATCATTCACCAAGTAAACCACATCATTCACCAAGTAAACCACATCATTCACCAAGTAAACCACATCATTCACCAAGTAAACCACATCATTCACCAAGTAAACCACATCAGTCACCAAGTAAACCACATCATTCACCATACAGTCCAGTCTCCCTCTTAGCACCGTGCCGCCCACACTTACATCAAGGTATTCCATCACTGTAGCCTCATCCTGTAGTTTACATTCACGACTCGACCCCAGAACGTGTCCTTATTCAACCAAGGCCAGCTTAACCCTCTCTGTCCTGCCTCGCCTGATTCCTCCCAACAACGATGGGGGTAATTTGTCTGCAGGTTGGGGTCTGGTGTAGGTTGGGGTCTGGTGTAGGTTGGGGTCTGGTGTAGGTTGGGGTCTGGTGTAGGTTGGGGTCTGGTGTAGGCTGGGGTCTGGTGTAGGCTGGGGTCTGGTGTAGGCTGGGGTCTGGTGTAGGTTGGGTCTGTGTAGCTGGGGTCTGGGTGTAGGCTGTGGGGTCTGGTGTAGGCTGGGGTCTGGTGTAGGTTGGGGTCTGGTGTAGGCTGGGGTCTGGTGTTGGCTGGGGTCTGGTGTAGGCTGGGGTAAAATAAATAATATAACCAACCAAGGAACGCCACCCCCCTCCTCCCCCTCACTCGACTCCTCCCGTAGGTTAACTCAGAGACGAGATGAGCTGCACCCACAATTCCTCACGTACTTGTGGCAATATTTACTTGATATTTATTATAGTTAAGGTATGTTCTCCTCCCCATTTATGGCACGTTCTCCTCCCCCACTGTTTCTCCCCGACCATTGTTACTCGGAGTTACATTCCTACACTCTGGGGAGATAACTGCATGACAAACTCTGAATGATAATCAAGTGAAAACTAGATCTCCAGGTACATATATAGCCACCTATCTTCCCCCATCACCTGGATCTAATGAGATGTTGGTATGTTGGGTTATGTTTGGGTGCACATACATACATGTCACAGGTACACATATATACATAAACATTTCTACACATAAGTAAACCCACACAAGCTTACATACATACTTACTGAATACATCCATATACGTACACACAGGTACACACACAATATCCTGACCACTGGGGTTAGTTACACAGATCCTTTGTGACCTCTACTATATAATCCTGTTTACCCTGCCGCTCACAGGATGAGTAATGGGTGCACAATAAACTAGCTGCTGTTTACATATACACACAAATATACAAACTACAGCACCACAAACGGACATCAATCCCTCTCTCCCCATCACACACAAACACACACACACACACACACAAACACACACACACAACAATAATACAACCTGAGACAAGACCAATGAATAAATAAGCACAGAATAAATACAACCATCTCATATATACTGAGGCCAACATCACACGACAACTCCCTCCCTCCCTCTCCTCCCTCCACCCACAAAAGGAAAGGCGATCCCTGGCGAAGATAGCCACACAAACCCCCTCCCCCCTTCCCTCCCTCACCCCAAGCAAAAACAAGCAACTGGTTTGACTTTAGGGGGAGGCTTTGATAACGAATACATTAAGACTCAGACAGCAAGCAGCCATATTTTCCGTGATTGTTGGTGGGCTTGAGCAAGGTATAGGAAGGGGTTAAGGGAAGGGAGAGGGATGGAAGAGGAGGAGAGGGAAAATAAGAAAGGGGGAGAGGGTAAGGAAGGCGAGGGTAAAAGGGGTGAAGAGGTAAGAGGAGAAAGGGAGTATAACAGAGGGGGGGGATGAAAGAGGAAGAGAGGAAAGGGTAAAAGGGGGTAACAGGGAGGGGGAGGGGGGAGGGGGGGAAGACGGCAGGAAGGGGGAGGGGGAGGGGTGGGGTGATCCTTTCACAATAAGCCTACAAATGACAAGGCAAAACAAAAAATAAAACGTGTCTGCCTGGCTCAACAGACTCCTGAGATACAAGACGCTGTGGTCAAGTAACGGGAGTTCTCTTTTACCTGTTGGGGGGAGGGGGAGGGGTGAGGGGGTGGAGGGAGAGGGGTGGGGGAGGGAGTAGGGAGAGAAGGCTTAAGTAAATTAATCCTTCCTACAACTAGTGAGGTATAATGATCATCCTTGCTTGCTTGGGGGGTGAGAACGGTATGCCCCTCCCATCCCACAATCACCACTGCTAACTAACCACCACCAACAAACACACACTGGCTGACCACTAGCAAGAAGGGAGGACCAACCAGGTTTATTGTGATGACCAAACCAAGATGACGATAACCTGGACGTATGATCATTAACAAACAGCAGTAGTTAGGATGACTCGGTCTACCTGACAACTCTTAACGAAGGCGATGATTAGGCTATCGGCTGACAGGTGTAATCAGAGGAGTGAAAACTGACCGAACGAATGTCTGTCTGTGTGTGTCTGTCTGTGTGTCTGTCTGTGTGTCTCTGTCTGTGTGTCTGTCTGTGTGTCTCTGTCTGTGTGTGTCTGTCTGTGTGTCTGTCTGTGTGTCTGTCTGTCTTTTCCTGTACTGGTGTCTGCTATCCTCGCGTTGGTTTGGCTGTAAGGATCACCTGAAGATTACCCCCCCCCCACCTCAACTTATTTCACCTGATGACATCAATATATAGCCGTCTACTAAATCAATGTGTTTTAATCTACTAACATCAATAGACACAAGTGTGGTCCATTGACATCAACGTATGGGCTGTGGCCTCTGGAGACATCACTACCTGGGTGATAGTCTGGAGTGACATCAATCTCACTGATGTCATATACTGTGTCAGAGGTAAAGTATGGGAGCTTTTTATAGTGATCTGCAGCCGAGTGACATCAATAATTAATTAGACTTGCGCCCTGACATCAATAACCAGGTCAACAGCTTAGCATCAACAACTATGTTAACATTGGTATTAATGATTGGATTAACACCCTGGCATCAATGCCAGGTCTAATACCCTGAAATCAGTAACTGGATTAACAATGACATCAATAACTCGACTGATACCCTGAAATCAATGACTTAAGTGGCACGTGACATAAATTACTAAGTCGACACACTAACATCAATGACAAGAATGGAAGGCTGACGTCAATGGCAAGACTAGAAGGCGGACATCAATGACAGCCCTGAAAAGTTGACATCAATGACTCAAATGACACCATGACATCAATGATTGGAATGACACCATGTTATCAATGATCATGACAACAACAAAAGGGCTGTCACAGCATTGACATCTTGACATCAACGACATCTTACACCCTGGCATCAATGGCTGATATGACACCATTATCAGGATCATATACGACACCTGACATCAAGGCTGACACCCTAAAATCATTGACTGATATAACACCATGACATCAAAATCAGATATGACACTTGACATCACTGCTCTGACTTGACATCAATTAATCAACTGATGACGTCCATGACCATCAAAACCACAAGGTCTTATATCGTCAAGCTGTAAATTTCACCTTGTTGACACTATCTATATGACAGTGTCAAGTCCATGTATATTACTGCCATGACTGGTAATACAGATCTGTGGGGGTGACGTTAACAGATAGCAAATGACAGCTTTATGTCGCCACTGAGAAAGTCTTATTAAAATGTCTTCAACATCCTAAAACGGCATATAAATTATCCTTCAATAATAACAGTGACCGTAAATATAAACCCCCGTCCGGTAATGAGGTAGAATACGTTTACACGACAAAAAAAAAGTATTCTAAAGTTTTAAAAGTACAAAAAAGTATAGTACTCACATCTAACGAGTCACTCAAGTTCTGCTAAGTTCCCAGTACGTACACTGTTAGTTATTCCACTATATAACTGTAACGAACAACGAAACTTATCAAAGAGTTAAGAGGAAAAAAAAAGTTGTCAAGTCAAAGTGCAATGGCGACGAGGTTTTCCATAGTCTCCCTCCCACTAAGGTTTACACCACACTGACGCGTGTGTTTGATTGCTGTACGACACTGCCGGCCTACCCTCGGCTCCGCCCCACACCCCTGCGCTTAACTGCCACGCGTATGACACCGACTCCCACCGCCTTCTAAACACAACTCAACATGCCACTGGTCGACTTTGGTATTTTCTTCGTTATTTCTCTATTCATATTATTTTGAGGGATTCTGTAAGATTTAACTGGATTTTAGACTCGAGAGAAGCAAACACGATTCACCAACAATGGTCTCTTCAAGAATTACCGCCCCACATCAGTCCTCCCAGCCTTGAGTAAGATACTGGAGAAGCTAGCATGTAGTAGACTAAATTCCTTCTGCAATGCCAATAACATCTTTACAGACTTCCAATTTGGATTTAGAGCTAGAAGGTCGACTGAGAGTGCTTTGCTATCCTTTACTAATGACATGTTAAATTCCTTTGATGACAGTCAATTCACAGTCGGTATATTCTTGGACCTCTCTAAGGCCTTCGATACTGTCGACCATACCATCCTCCTTTCAAAGCTTGAACATTACGGCGCTAGGGGTCTGTCCCACAATTGGTTTGCCTCATATCTGTCCAACAGGATGCAGTATGTCTGCTATAATAATCACCAATCTGACTCCTCGCCAATCTTGTATGGCGTCCCCCAAGGTTCCATTCTCGGTCCAGTACTGTTTTTGTTGTACATAAACGACATTGTCCACGCCAGCACACTCATAAAATACAACTTACTTGCAAACGATAGTAATCTCTATGCCAGCAACTCAGGCCTCCATTCCTTGATGAGAACTATGAACACTGAATTAACTTAAGTCAGCACCTGGGTAATACGTAATAAACTGACCTTAAACCTTGAGAAAACCCACTACACGATCTTTCACAGAAGGAAAAACTTACCCCCAGACTTGGACCCCCTGTACCTTGGTAATATAGTCCTTAAACGCGAACAAAATACTAAATTCCTCGGAGTTTTTGTTGATGAGAAACCTAACTGGAGAAACCACATACAAGCCATCCAGGTAAAGACAATAAACAGTGAGGTATCATGTATCACACTCGACAGTCACTCACTCTCACAGCAATGAAAGAAAACTCTTGTTTACCAACACCTGATACACTGTCACACACTATGGGGGCCTCTGGCTCTTCAAAAACACAATCTCTGGTTACTGCACAAAAGAGAGTTGTACGGACAATGACCTACTTGAAAAAAACAGTTCACACAAACGAAAAATTTGCTATATTGAAATTTTTAAAATTCGAAGATATTAACACCTACTGCTGTGCCCTCTTTGTTCACACATCTATCAATCACTTGCTTGACAATAATTATTTCCAGTTCCGGAATAATCAGGGATACAACTTAAGGCACCCAGAGCTACTAAGACCACCCACCATGTGCTCCTCTCAGTCCCAGACCTCCATAAAATATCCCCGTGTGAAGGTGTGGAACAACTTACCCCCACCCATCCCAGCAGACTACGCTCCCTTCCTTTAAACCATCTCTAAAAAATATCTATTGTCTAAGTATTAATATTTTTTGTAATACCTACTATATTTACAGTACCTGCTTTTATTATACCATCAAAACCGTTTTATCGGAAATTATCATGTAAATAGATAAGATATTACCATTGCAATAAACATAATTGCCAACTAGACATCATCCTGACAGCTCTGTCCTCTTGTTCAACCTTAATACTGTACAACCCAGGTTGTACTGCTCCCCCATTATACTTATGTTTTTCAATTCCACTGTAATTTATGTATATACTTATAATATAAATAAAACAAATAAACTAAAAAATAAATAAATAATAAATAAATAAAATAAATAAATATTGAAGTGATAACCGTGGTAACATTATGAGATGTTCTTATTACCACCATGCTATTGTACTATTCCAGATGATACTAAATGTTACATAATACTTCCTTGAGATACATGTACAGTATACATCAGGTGCCTAAAAGAGAGTTCAGGTTCTCAACTGGCTCAGCCATGTTAATATTGTTATTATCATCCACTCTGTATCTGTGTTTTTCTGGCTAAATAAAATGTTTCAATTCAATTCAACATTCAGACAACCTACCCAGGCAGTTACGGAAGACGCTGCAAATGTTATTATATCCAACTTCTATAAATTATGAGACACGTGATTAAACGTAATTACATCCAGCATATGGCCAACGTTAACTACTGGTGTGTGAGAGACAACAGCGAGAAATATGTGCAGCAAAACAAGAGGAAATACTAATTCCTCCCGTCAAATAATCTTTACTCAGGAAAACAATCACACACCCGCTGCCGACCACCACCACCCGCTTGGCATTCTCACACACACACACACCAGCCATATGTCTGCGTGTCAATCTCCTCACCTACACTATAATCATAATATACGACAGGATGAGGTAGTACTTGTAGCAATGAGAACTATATTACATGTTATTGCACTCAGTTTCCCATGTAATTTGGGTGAGTTTTCTGTCATCGTGGTTATGTGAGTGAATGAACACTTCTCCGAGCCCTCTCTCCCTCATCACCCCCTATCCCACCCCCTCCCTTCCCTCCACGTTTCTCTACCCCCTCCACCCACCCCCCACCTTTCCCTCATAAAGTTTTTCGTTCAATATATAAATAATTAGTCTATCTTACATAAACCAAGTAAAAAGTTTATTAAAATGATCGCCGTGTGTGTGTGTGTGTGTGTGTCCAGTCCCACACTAGGAGTTGACTGTTTAATTCTTGACACGTGTAAGGAAAAACGCCTTTGGTTCCACTTAAAGAGGTCAGCAAGGCTACTGTTGACTCCCTTCCCTGTGTGTGTGAAAATGTACAGCCAATCGTTATTACAGTCACCGTTACCAATCACTGTTACCAGTCACCAGTCACCGTTATCAGTCACTGCTACCAGTCACTGTTGACAGTGGTATTGTGTGTGTGTGTAGTGGTGGTGTGTGGTGTGTGGTGTGTGTGGTGTGTGTAGTGGTGGTGTGTGTGTGTGTGTGTGTGGTGTGTGTGGTGTGTGTGTGGTGTTCACATTGGCCACTATAAATACACACCTGTAACATACATACATAATAATAATAATCGATGATGGCCGACCCAAGGGCCACCTAGGCGTGAATTTGTTTAAGGTGTAGAAGCTGTCGCCAACACAACAACCACACCCTAAGTCAACGAGTTGCATGACCCAGTGTCAAGGAATAGTCCGAGAAGACCGGACAACTCGCCAACTGCACTGGCTAACCATTACCCCGGAACACCATGCGCAAATCGATTAACATCCAGGTTCCTAATTACTGCTGGGTAGACAGAGGCAAATGGCGTAAAGAAACTTGCCCATAGTTTCACCCTGCCCGGGGATCGAACTCGGGTCCGCATACATAATGTACATACATACATACATACAAATATACAAGGATAATCATAGAGAGTTAACGAAGAAATAATACGTCCGGCAGTAACATGACACATACATCAGCAAAAAAACTCCCTCACGCGGAAAAAAAAAACATTATCAGTCAATCAGTGAGGATGTGAGAGTTAGTCGGTGGGCAAATAGGGACTGACATGACCAAACCAAATGGACATATCATCAGCAATTTGCCCTCGTTATGACCTTACTAGTCCCTTGTTATCTGGACCACCTACCTGTACTGTATACCTGTATGGGTTACTCCTTTCTTCCCTACCTCTCTCTCTCTCTCTCTCTCTCTCTCTCTCTCTCTCTCTCTCTCTCTCTCTACCCAGGAGGAGGTGAGGTACGCGTTCAACATGGCCTGATTGTCGGCCTGGGAGCTAATTTGGCGGTGGTCTGGGCTACATTGGACTGGTCTCGGCTATACTCGGCTGGTCTCGGCTATACTGGGCTGGTCTGGGCTATATTGGGACACATCCACGTAACACCAGACCCTGTAGCTACAGAATCATCATTATACTACTACCACCACCACCACCAATATCACCGCCTTCACCACTACATTCTTCATCAACACCACCATCATCACCACCACTAACACCATCACCACCACAAACTTCACCAACACCGCCTTTACCATTACTCCCACCACCATCACCACCAATACCACTATCACCACCACCATCGCCACCACCATCACCACCAATACCACCACCACCACCACCACCACCACCCATCTCTTCATCACACCACCATCGGGCCACCAGTCCCCAGCCAACACCGCCTTTAACACATTACTCCCACCACCATCACACACATCACCACCACTGCCACCACCATCACCACACCACCACCACCACCACCACCACCAATATCACCGCCTTCACCACTACATTCTTCATCAACACCACCATCATCACCACCACTAACACCATCACCACCACAAACTTCACCAACACCGCCTTTACCATTACTCCCACCACCATCACCACCAATACCACTATCACCACCAATACCACTATCACCACCACCATCGCCACCTCATAATCACCACCATCACCACCATCACCACCACCATCACCACCAATACCACTATCACCACCACTCCTCCGTACCACCATCACCACACCATCACCACCACCATCACCACCTCAATACCACTCATCACCACACCACCACGCCACCACCATCACCACCACTACCACCTCATCACCACCACCATCACCACTAATAATACTCATCACCACCACCATCACCAATTACCATCACCACCACCACCAGTTCAGAACCCAATAAAACCCTTTTGAAAAGGTAAGGAGGTACAGGAGTGTTGAAAGAGGAAAGAGGAAGAGGGGAGGAAGAGGAGAGTGTGAAGATGAGGAAGAGAAGGAGGAGGAGGGGCTGAAAGAAAAGGAGCAAAAGAGGGAGATGAGAAAGAGGGGAGAAAAGAAGAGGGGATTGGGAAGATGGAAGGACAGAGGAAGAAGGAAAATAGAGAACAGGAAGAGAGAGAGAGATGGGATAGAAAGTTCGAAGACAAGAAAGAATGGGGAAGAGAGGGAG